TAGAGCTCTTAGTGTGTCTGTAACCCTTCGACAAACGTCAGACACCTGGGAATCCCACGTAAGGCCTGTGTCAATAATAAGCCCCAGGTTCTTTACCTGATTTGACAGAGGAATCACTACGTTCTCAAACATTTTTGGTGGCACGCACGACATATCACAATACGAAAAAAGGTGTGAGCTTCCAAGGATGATGGCTTGACACTTGGAAGGGTTGACATTGATACCAAACCTTTGGGACCAAACCGAAAGATGACCTTCAGGTCATCATTAATTTATACAATTGCATCACTGATGCCACCGACATCAACCTCGATATAAAGTTGTAAGTCGTCGGCATACAGGTGGTAAGAACATTTGATGCTGGATGTAATCAGATTTACGAAAATAGAAAACAAGAGAGGAGAGAGAATTCCGCCCTGAGGTACCCCGGAAGTGAGTTACACCATTCTGAGAACGAGCGATCAATACGAATCGCTTGTTGGCGATCTCGGAGATAAGAAGAGAACCATTGAGCTGTCGTTGAAGAGATGTTTAGGTGGTCTAAGGTAGCAAAGAGAAGGTCCATGATCCACGACGTCGAATGCATTGGAGAAGTCAATTAGGACCAGCACAGTAAGTAGAGTATAGTCCGTCCCCTCCTTACATCCTCAACAATCTTTAGCATGGCAGTAGAAGTACTATGACCTGGTCGAAAACCTGATTGAAATGGAGAAAGGATATTGTTTGAGTAAACACAAACAGACAATGTTTGTGAACGACAGCCTCTAAGACTTTAGAAAGAAAAGGAAGAATTGAGATGGGACGGTAATGCTTGAGTAGACTGGGGTTAGTAACTTTTGGAAGAGGGATTACATGAGCATTTCACCACAGAGAAGGAAAAGCCCCAGTCATCATCAAGAAAGTAACTACGTGCGTGATAATAGGGAGTATACATTCTGAAATACACATTACCATAATTGTACTTACGTCATCGTGCCCAACAGCATTAGATTTGGTTGACAAAACCACTTTCCTGACCTCATCTTCAGTTACTGAGGTGAAAATAAAAACAGAATTTGAAATTTTTGGCAGTGCTCTAATAAATGCAATACTTTGTTGTTTGGTGTTGGTGTCTAAAGTTGCAGTGTTGGCAAAGTGAGTATTCAGCTCATTTAAGGAGAAGGAAGAAGTTATACTGTGCGAACTTTGCGGATTACCTACACCAATGGATTTTAGGAATTTCCAGGTGTTAACGGGGGCGCAGTTCGCTGCTCGCCTGATCCCCTAGTGAGATCAGCGGGCTCTGGACAGGGACTCCGGAGCCTGCATTGCACGGCCTCACTCGTCTGGGGGGCGGGTCGGAGGACAACCGACTCGTCCCTCCGTTGGCGCGGGAGCCCTGGCGCAAGCTAGGGCGGCCGGGCGGCGTCGTGGTGAATGAGGGAGAGTCCCCACATAACCCCTGAGTCTCCCTGGGCTCAGGGGTATCCATAAAGATATCCCCCCGTCAAAAAAAAAAAAAAATATCTTAGATATCTTACAGTATATATTTAGATGTGGGTGTGCTGCTTGGGTATAGTCCGCCACGTCAGCC